ACGCCAGAACCATTGGAATAGCAGTGGATAAGAGAAGGAAAAACACGAATCGGGATACGTTCTACCAGAATGTACAGAGACTCACTGAGTATCAGAAGGGTATAAAGATCTGGAGCAGTAGGAGACAGGCTAAAGAGGCAGGAGTGAAGCAGCACAAGGGTGTTGTGATGCCACTGGTCAAGAAGGAGAAGACTGTGGATGTGATTACGCCTGCAGAAGTAGGAAGTATTTAACAGTGGTGATAGTAAAATTATACGTTACTACCATTCATGCTACTATTAATATTTTAACTAATTACTGCTCTTCTTCATTTGCCTTGGTTTCAGTCTGAGTCTCCTTCTTGTCATCCTCACTTTCATATCACTTTCCCTTTCTGATGAACCCAACCTGTGCTACTGCACCTGCTGCTATGAACATAATCCACACCAAAGTGTTCCAGCTCTCAACCATTGGACCAATCAGTGATTGCTGATCAATAAATTTGCCAAGGTAGTCGTCGAAATTCAGTGGCAGCCCAATCAGTCCAAATATCGCACATAGCACCATCAGTGATCCGTAGATTGAGAATACGGCAACCAGAATGTACTTGTAGAATGATTCAAACACCTTGAATAGCATTTTGACTGCAATTATGATTCCAATCAGAACTAGGAAGTGGAATATGAATGGAATCTGGGCGAGTGACTCAACGATGCCGTTGTAGACCAGGAAGATCGTCATGGCCAGGAAGAGTGGCTTGACGATCTTGTAGAAGACCAGGAATGCGGCACAGAAGAGGAATGCAACCAGTGCCTGGACCCAGGCACCGTCGATGTTGAGGGTGCTTCCAATTGAGGCAAAGAAGTCGGTGAAGAAGCCTAGGAACGTGTACATGAAGATTGTCATCAGGAAGACGACGCCAACACGCTCCTGGACGATTCCAGCGAAGTTGAGTCCTCCTGCAAAATGCAGAAAGAGCAGCAAATAGAGCATTTCAAGGTTGAGGATTCTGAAGATGCCCGACCTCTCTGCTGCCGCCTCT